TTGGATTGTGTCCTACATTATGATGTTGTTTGTATTATTATATCTATAATGTTGTATCTATGCATGGGGTCATACATGTGAAAGATGGGATTGTCTGTAGAGGATAACTATTCTAGAAGCTTGTATGGCATGCCAATACTATGGTCAGGTATTTGGTCTTTTTGTTAGGCCCATGTCTCCTTAGTGCGGGATTGATATTAAACTCATGAGTAGACACTTCTTGCAACATAGCCCATTATTTATGGATTGTGGATCCGCATTTATCACTTTTTGGGGGAAAAAACTTTTATTTTATTAATGATTGTTATAATTTTAAGACTATTTGAGTAGGTGTGAGACTTGTGGGCTGGACTTAGTCCCTACTGTTCTTAGGCCTTAAGTCTCGTAGTTGTGATTATGTGAATTTGTGAGGTCTTTTGAGTAAGTCAAACTCTTTATAACCATGATAGCATTTAATACACCTCCACTAAACTCCAATCAGTAATAATTACACATGAGCTTTTGTCTTGTCCCATCGACAAGAACACAGTGTTCCCAATAGGCATCTCTACCTGAAGAACACATGGTAAACATAGAATAGTGCTATATAAAATGTTAAACCCTGAAATCTAAGCATAAGCTTTATGAAAGAAACCACTATAAGTTCAATGATTTTTGTATACTTCCTTTGAACAATTTGACTAAAGCAAGTGGTCCATAAAATAGTTAATCAACTATCATGCCTAATCCAAATTGCAAATTTCAACAGTTGTATTCTTGCTCTATTCTCACATTCTCTTGAAAAATAAATGCAACCTAGTCATCACAACATAAGTAGCTGCCAATTCAACACATTTCAAGTAGACTCTTACCAAGATCCCTCTTAGAGAGGCAGAGTATACATTTGGAGTAAACGTGTATGGCAACACTATAAGCTACTTTTGTATCTTGAGCAATGTTGATCAATCATCCTTAAATTCAAATAGCAGAAGTTCAACATAAATGCTTCACCATTACAGATTATTCAAAATTAGACAGGAGATGATCCTAAAACACATAAACTAGGAAAACTAAAATAAGTGTCAAGTTGATTAAAAATAACAACCATAAAGGGGGATGGACTTCTAAAGAGGCACCATCAACAAGCTTCTCTGAAATTCATTTTAGTTCTCTAGGATTTCTTATCCCATTTCCAATAGAGCCATTGTTTTGAGGAAAGGGTTAAGGCAACAACATTGCCCAAGTTACTTCCTTTTTTTGCACTAGAAGGCACCTCATGAAAACTAAAAACTACAATTATTTATATCATATGAAAAAAAGAAGTCATAACCCCAATTAAAAGTAGGAAAAGTAACGGGGAAAATACTATAATTGAGATCCCCTAAAAATTTACAAGAGAAAAAAAAAAGCCAATATAATTATCTGCAGCAAAATGGAGGTATAAAGCAGAATAATGAGAAAATCAAAGGAAGAGAAGGCACCTGTTCTATGAAGTTGAGAGGATCCAAAAGAACTCATTAGTGAGGAGGTTAGAGAAAAAACCTAGAGTAGTCGGAATCTTCTACTATAGGCATCAATGATTAGAGGGAACAGGGCCAATCTGAGGAAATAGAAAACCACAAAGATAAATTAGTAGTCCTCGGCTCCTTGTCAGGCTTGCTTCTGATTTGAGGCATGGAGACTGGAAAATCATTTTGTGGGTTTTTTCTTGTGCCTTAAAAATAAGAAAGATATCTTACTATGCAAAAAGTTGATTTGTTCAGGAGGTAATCTTTTTTTGAGGGATTGTTTAAGATATAATTTTGTCAACATTATTTTCTACTCAAAATCTATTCTCTAAAACCACTTTTATTACTTATCAAGTCTTTAATACTACCTCTAGTCCTAACTATAAGACCTTATTTATAACAAGGTCTTATAGTTAGGACCGAAGGTAGTATAAGCATATTAACTAATTAATTATAATAAATGCGATGAATATACCCTAAAAGGAAGATCTCAATTCTAAAAGACTAGTCTATTAAGAGAAAAAGTCTCTTGAACTTATAAACTCCACAACACTTGTGAGGCTCTTAATGTGCGACTCATAATAATGCACCCCATGAGAGCCCAATGGCTCCATACTAAGCCACTTCATTCAGCCTCCTGTTGGTCAAGACCTTCTATGGGTAACCCTTTTTGTGAACATTAGGCTCTCCATGAAAGCATTAATATGATGAGCACAAACTCAAAGGGAGAGCCCAATTCAAAAAGATTAGACTACTAGGGGAGAGAACTTCTTGAATTTATAAACCCCACAATACTTGTGAGGCTCCCCAATGTGATACTCATAACAATAATGTGATGAGCATAAATCCAAATGAAGAGTCCAATCAAAAAAAAATTAGCCTATTAGGAGGAATAGGCCTTTGTACTTATAAACCCCAAAATACTTGTGAGGCTTCCCAATATGGGACTCATAACAATACACGCCCTCGAGAGCTAATACTCAGTGGCTCCACTCTATGGCACTTCACTCCGCCTCCTATTAGTCAAAACTCTTCCTAAGTAGCCCTCTCCAATTGACCGACTCTTACTGAAAGCACCAACATGATGAATATGAGTCCAAAAAAAGAGTCCAAACCTAAAAGACTATCCTATAAAGAGGGAGAACCCCCTTAAACTTATAAAGCCTATAATACTTATGAGCCTAATGTGCGATTTATAACAATGCATCCCCCACAAGAGCCAACATTCCCGGCAACTCCATACCATAACATTATACTTAGCTTCTTGTCAGTCAGAACCCTTTGTTGGTAGCCCTTTCCATGAACATTAAGCTCTCATTGAAAGCACCAATGTGATGAGTCTAAGCTCAAAAGGAGAACCTAATTCCAAAACACTAGCTTATTAAGAGAGATAGCTCTTTGAACTTATAAACCCCATAATACTTGTGAAGCTCTTCTTGAACATCACACTTTGTGGGTAGCCCTTTTGACAGGCCCAACCTGCCAGCTTGCCGAAAATGGCAAGCTCAATTAGGGATTTTGCGAACCCTCCAACCTTTAAAATTTCAAACTTCACCCTATTTAAGTTAAAGTCCAACTTATGGTAGTTTCAAACCTGATCTTCTTCTTTAATACCTTTCATCTTTCTCTTACTTGATTACTGTTAAAGGAGTATCATTAACACTAAGGCTAATTTGAAAAAAATGATAAATGTGAAAATAGATTTTAATTACATTAAGATGAAATTCAACTCCACATTCCACAATTAGGTCCTACTTTAAGGACCGGAGGAGCATATTTTTCCAAAAGTTATTATCCATTACTCTATTGTCTTATTTATAGTGAAATTAAAATTTTAAGTGAATTTATCAAAAATCTTCCTCCCTTCACAACAATTACCAAAGCCACCCCAGCAAATGTCAAAACTTTGTCAATGGACTTAGAGTTGGTAACATGCAATTCCAATCCACCAAAACAGAAGAGAACCACTACAATTGAACCAATGACCAAAAACAATAAGTTAGTTTATCAATGTATTCTAAACACTATGCATGCAACGAACGATGCTGGAGAAGAGGAAGGTGGTAAATTAAAAGATATTGAAAATGCAATTGGAAAGCAAAACCAAAAGCAAGAGTTCTAACTTTAAGGTCTGAGAGCTTCATATGACAACATCCAAGGCAAATAATAAACAAGTAAAAACTAGACTAGAAAAGAAAACCAAACACATTAGATATAAAACAATCCAAACATTGGGTTAAAAACGTATAATTCTTCACAGTTTGGCAACCCTCGTCTTTAGGGGTAACCGCAACCAACCAACCAATCCATGGCAAAAGAAAATTACAAGATAGGGCTCTCAATTAAGGATAGGTCCTAAGGATCAAACCGTGTGGGCCGTGAGAAATTAATGGCTGAGCCGAAAAATTAGGTTCTAAATTAGGAGAAAGGACCAAGAGGGTTTGGTCCACTGTGCCCTTAAAAGGGTTAGTTCATTTACATAATTTTTTTTATTTTTGAGATTTTTGAGCGTAAAGGCCTTATATTTTTCATTAGCATTTTTACTAATACTTACCTGGTGAAGAATATATTAAGTTTAGAATTAAGTTATTACTTATATTAAAAAGTCTTGTTAGATTATTACTTTGAAAATTTTAAAATGATTTTTAGGTAGTATTAATTTATATCCATAATTAGTTGCATGGTTTTGATGATATTATTTATAATATATTATTCTTTTCATTTATTATATATATGCATCCTTTTATCATAAGAAAATTTCATTACAATTTGTGATGTTGATTTATTATTTATTGCAAGTTAATTATAAGGACAATAAAAAAAAATGTATTGTACTCCAGAAATTGATTGATGTTGTTCGTTGTGCATCAAAATCTCTTGATTTAATTTGCTCGTTCCTTCGATCTGATGGCTGGTATTGGGAGGATAAGTTGAAATCAAGTCGTTGGTTTGATGTTCCAAAACTCCACATTTAGAAACTTAAACTCCTTTTGTAAATCGCGGTTTGATTTCACTTATAACACCACTATTAATGCCTGTTCTTTTAATTTAAAAAAAAACAGAATATCAAATTTGAAGGTTCCTTTCCGAAAACAACATCATGCAAACTTTCAAATAGGCTAAATTCAGACCATTTTGTTTCCTTCCCCAACCAGCCCAATATGGAATAAACATGTATGCATTTTGTTTTTGATAACATAGATGCATGTTTTAAAAATATATCGCAAGCAGTTTGCTCAAAAAAAAAAAATATCACAAGCAGAAGTTATAGTCGCATCCATAACGGGATAGCAGAAAAAACAATTCATCTCACCTGCCATGGAATATTCCCACTTCCTAGCATCCCCCGCTCCTCAAAGATGCCAACTTGTCTTTATTGTTTGGCCCCAGTTACAAGCTAAGCCATTCGGCGGGGGATTTCATTATTTCCTGTCAACCGCGTTAAGTTACATACATATATAAATACATACATATATATTTTTTCATCATCACAGACCTGAGAAAATCCTTTCTATGGATTACATTCCTGAAGATACTTTCACCTTTATGCTCGTCTCTATATGGGCCATTTTCGCAGTGACGTGGTACGCCTGGTTCTTCTTCTTCAAACCCAATTTTAAGCTTCCACCAGGTCCGCCGGGACTCCCTTTGTTCGGCAACCTTCTATCACTTGACCCAGAGCTTCACTCTTATCTGGCCACTCTGTCTCAAACCTATGGTCCCATCTTCACGCTGCGACTCGGAACCAAATATGCCTTCGTCCTCACCTCCCCTTCAATGGCTCGTCAAGTGCTCAAAGACCATGACGTCATTTTCGCCAACCGTGTCCTGCCGATCGCTGGCAAGAAAGCAGCCTACGGCGGGAGAGATATCGTTTCCAATCCTTACGGACCTGAGTGGAGAATGCTGAGAAAGGTTTGTGTATTTAAGATGCTCGGTAACTCCACGTTAGATTCTGTTTACAGCCTTCGTCGCATGGAGGTTCGGAAAACTGTAAGTTTTTTATATAGTCGAGCTGGGTCTGAGGTTAATATCGGGGAACAGATATTTCTTACTGTGTTAAATGTGATCACGAACATGATGTGGGGTGAGACGGTGGAAGGCGGTGAGAGGACCGTCGTAGGAGCCGAGTTCAGGGAAGTTGTGTCGGGCATTACGGAGATTTTGGGGACGCCGAACGTATCTGACTTTTTTCCTGGGTTGTCTTGGTTTGACGTGCAAGGTTTAGAGAGAAAGATAATAGTGTTGGCCAAGAGATTGGATCAGATCTTTGAGAAGATGATTGATAGGCGAATGAAGATGAATAGGGAGAATGAAAGTGATCAAGGAGGAGAGAGTAAAGACTTCTTGCAATTCTTGTTGAAACTCAAGGATCAACAAGATTCCAAGACCCCTCTCTCCATGATCCACGTGAAGGCCCTCCTCATGGTATGCTTCACAAACCTTCAATATTTTTTTTTTGTTTCACAATTATTTAATTTTTTTTCATTTTCGAACCAATTTGTTTGAGCTTAAAAAGGTAATTTTTTAAAATCATCTGAAAAAGTGATGGGAAAATAACAATAAAATATCTTCTGAATTTCAAAATGACAAATAAAGCATCTGAATAAACAGAATGACAAAGAAAGCATCAGGTACCAATATGGGATTTTGATTTTGAATTTTACAAAACACATAGTGGGATTTACAGCTTTCATAGTGAGAGTTACTATTTCGTCAATGGGTTTTGCAACCTATTTTGAAGGGTTGGGCAAGTTTTGCCGAATTTTATAAACACATAGTGGGATTTATAACTTTCATAGTGAGATTTACTATTTGGTCAATGGGTTTGCAACCTGTTTTGAGGGGTTGGGCAACTTTTCAGTAAAAAACAATACAATTACACGCTAAATTTTACAAAACACATTGTGGGATTTACAACTTTCATAGTTAGAGTTACTACTTTGTCAATAGGTTTTGCAACATGTTTTGAGACCAAAAATCAAAATTCCAGATTGGTACCTAATACCTTATTTGTCATTTTATTTATTCGGATGCCTTATTTGTTATTTTGAAATTTAAAAGGTATTTTATTGTTATTTTTCCAAAAGTGATTTGATGTCTAGCCCAAGTTATTCTATGTTTGATCATAGTAAGGGTTAAAGTGTATTTAGCCTCTTGAAGTATGCTTTTTTTAGCATTCAATATCCTAAAATAATTTATCATTTATCAAGTACTCTAAAGGTTTTTTTTCATTAGCATACATAGATTAAAATATGTTGCCATTTGGCCATGAAAATATTCTTCTCAGCTGTAATAAGCACTCTAACCTTAGGATATTAAATGCTACTAAAAAATACTTTAAGGTACTGGATGCACAAAAAATCACTGAAAAGCTATTTTAAAATACTGACTACTACCGAAAAAAATCTTAGAATAGTTTTTAAAATAATAACAAGCTATTTATAATGTTTTTTAAATAAAGCTGAAATCTAATAATTTTCCTAGATTTTGATTCATTTTAAAAAATTTTATACACATACTAAAAATTTTCGAAAGATTTTTTTTATTCTTTTTTATTCAAAAAGATATATGGAACAACAGAACCCTCAATCTTCATTATTATACTATGGAAGTTTTTTCGTAAAACATCTTAATACCTACACTTTTTAATATAAGAGCTAGTTGACTAATTTGAATAAATTAATAAATTTTTTTAAATTAGTTAGTTATAATAAATAAGTATTATCTTTTCTAAAATACCCTTATTAATAATGTTTATTAGCTAGAATTATCATTTGATGAAATCTTTAATATGTGCAACTACTACAATAAATAAATGTGAGAGATAAAATAGATTGTGACCTTATATTTAGGATTAGATTAAACATCAAATTAGCTTTTATATTAAGAACCGATGGTAATACTTCTCAATATATAGTGAAATATTTGAACAGGATATGGTGGTAGGTGGAAGTGACACGTCCGCTAACTCAATTGAGTTTGCGATGGCTCATATATTAAACCATCAAGAGGTGATGGAGAGAGTCCAAGAAGAATTGGACAGTGTAGTGGGAAGAGAAAATGTGGTAGAAGAGTCTCATATTAGCAAACTCCCATACTTGCTTGCCGTTATGAAAGAAACACTGAGATTGCACCCTGCTCTTCCATTACTAGTCCCTCACTCTCCAAGTGAAACTACCACTGTGGCTGCCTACACAATCCCAAAAGGCTCTCGTGTGTTTGTGAATGTGTGGGCCATACATAGAGATCCTTCCATTTGGAACAATCCTCTACAATTTGATCCTTCAAGGTTTTTGGATTCTAAATGGGATTATAGTGGGAATGACTTCAATTACTTCCCATTTGGGTCTGGACGAAGGATGTGTGCAGGAATTGCCATGGCTGAAAGAACCTTTTTGTATTTTCTTGCAACGCTGATGCATTCATTTGATTGGGAATTACCTGACGGCCACAAGTTGGATATTTCTGAGAAATTTGGTATTGTTCTTAAGAAGAAAATACCTTTGGTCGCCATTCCCTTACCACGATTATTAGACTCAGGTCTTTATGAGTAGAATTAAGGGGAATCAATCTTGTTGATATTGGCAGATTTCAAAATAGCAAGTCCATTGTTCACCCAAAAGAAAAATCGCACAAGTCAAATAATGCAATTATTGTCATGTGCAGATATTTTGTATATTAATGTTTTGATTTTAGTCACTTGTCGAATTTGAACTAAATTTATAAAAGTCCAAGTAATCAATAGTTTACTTTGAAGAGAGAAGCTTCATTACCCGTTACCATGGATTTGAGGTATCAATAATCGAGTGTCAAATTCTAGCTTAAACATTAATGGATGCTTACTTGCCTCTATATTCGGGGAAACAACTATACCCTATGATCGGGCCAACCAGGCCAACTAATAAGTTACAAAGAGGATGGAAGGAAAACTACTCTCTCTGTTCTTCTCTCCATGCACACAGATTTCAAGGAGCTAGATAAGAGTTACTTCTCTGGCCGGAAATGTAGATGTCAATTAAATTTAAAAAAATTTTAGGTCACATTTCTTATTCAAGCGCTTTAGTCTTGCATAATTATGTGTCTTTTGTAACCATTTTATCATTTTTTGGGATGTATGTTTATATGTAAATACAAGAAATATTTTTATATGTTTGATTTAATGATAGTATAATTATCAAGTCAGGTTATTATTTATTTGCTTTGAAGCTCACGAAATATGAGTTCTTTCATATTCTCTGCTGGTCACTCCTTAAATTTTGGAGTGTGATAAGATGTATGTTGATTCTCCGTTCTTTTTTTCTGATAAACAATCACTACAAATGTTTGCTTCCATCAAACAACTTGCATATATTATATTGCTAACTCAAAAGAAGAAGCAGATGGAATCATTATGCACAATATCCTTGTTTTTTGCAAATTGTTTTTATTTTATATAGAGTAAAATATTCTAACTAACCTTTTATTTTTCCTTCATTACGGAAATTTCCCATCTATTTAAAAAATGTATATAAACTTTTCTCAAAACAAAAATGCAAGATTTTATTTTTATTCATTTAATTGTTAGGTGATCGTTAAGTTTAACTTTTAAAGTTTTATTTTGACCAAAATATTCTTCCTTAACAAAGTTATTTAAACATTTGTATTTGTTAAAATGTAATTTTTGATACAAAAAAAACAATTTTAATACATGTTTTTTCAAATTTTTATATATGCAAAAAAATTTATTAATTTTTATTATGTTATAAAATTTTATAATTTTAATTTTTCATTGCATAATGAAACTTATTTAGTTAGATTTCCTTTAAATGGCTACAAAATTTATTTATCGAATGTCTAAAAGAAACTATAGAAATCATTTAAATTTATAATTTAAAATTTTGAAATAAAAATTCTGTTGAAAATATTTATAATGTATTGAGTCTATTATATATTTATTTAAATAATTAATCAAATTTTGATTCAACATTTTTATTTCTAAATTAAGTAAAGTAATTAATTTTCCTTCCCAATATGATTAAAAACACTAAACAAATAACTGCTTGTAAAAATAAAATTAAAGAAAAGGAAAAATTTAAATTCTTCAAAAAATTTTAGCAAAAATTTAGGGATTTAGTGTTATCAAGGGTAAATTAGTAAATAAAAGTATCTTAATATAAATTTTAATTAAACAAGTACTTTTTTTTAGAATATTCATAACAGAATTAACATTTTAAATTTAAATATATGCTTTCAAAATAGATGGCACATCGGTATAATTGGAGCAAAATACGAACGAGGTCAAAGTATTATACTCTTTTATATATGATGTTGTAATTGTGTTAATATTTTATCTTTTTTTCTAATTTTTTTTATTTCTGCCCCTCTTTAATAATGCACATATAATGTTACATTTTCATATTAATATCATTTTATCTTTTTATCTAAAAATCAGTCTTTCTTGTCAATGAAAATTTGAATGTGAGATTTTTCCCCCCTCAATTTTCCCATTTATTCATCTATTTATTTATTTATTTTTATTTTTAGCGGCGTGTGTCCGCTTTGTGTGCGCGGAGATTCCAGTTTTCCCCCTTTCTGACTTCATAGCACACCGGAGAATCCTTGTGGATAAACGATGATGACTTCGATGCTATCGATCGTCTTCCTCCTTCTTCCTTGGGCCATTGCTTCTCTTCTATTGCCGATTGTATCTTCCACGACGGAGACGCCCACTCCGACCCCATGGCCTCTCCAATTTCACTCCATTTTGTTCATGAACTATAGTGGATCCCTTCAGAAGATCGATCTCTGGTACGATTGGCCCAACGGTCGCAACTTCAACATCATACAGGACCAGCTTGGTGATAAGATTCTCTACGACCTCGAATGGAACAACGGCACCTCCTTCTTCTACACATTGGATTCTTCCAAGGAGTGCAGGTCTGTTCAGCTCGAGGTTGGAATTCTTCGCCCCAATTGGTTGGATGGTGCTAACTATTTGGGTCAAAAAACTGTGGATGGCTTCCTGTGCAATGTTTGGGAGAAGGTCGATTTCATTTGGTACTATGAAGACGTTGTTTCCAAAAGGCCTGTTCATTGGGTCTTCTACACTGGTATGTTCTGTATATAACCATTCCTTTTTTTGATTCATTACCCTTAATTTTGGAATTTTCGTTTGTTTCAGAATTAGGAAATGAAAGAGTAATTTGGTAAATGTAAGTTTTGGGCTAATGCAGTTTGCTTAATGTGTACAGGTAGACAGGCGCATGTGATGACATTTGAAGTGGGAGCTGTACTGGAGGATGCCAAGTGGCAAGCTCCTGTCTACTGCTTTGATAAGAAGAATAAGTCTCTTGACGACGCTGCCACTCTCAGGGATTCTGTTCTAAGGAGTAAGGGGCATGCACTTGTAACTTGATAAGCAAGCTTCATTTTCTTTAGCATTTAGTGTTCTTGCTGTTTCTGTTCTGTATATGATGGCTGAGTGTTTTTGTTATAATAAAGTATCAATTGGCCCAGGAAGAAAATCTTCATTTTGTAATTTATCTGGATAACATCTTTTACTGCAAGAAAATCTATGATGAAAGCATGCGTGCATACATGCACACACACACACACACATGTTTATCCTATCAACTTGAGGAGGCTGATCAAAAGAAACCAATCTCAGGTAAAGTAAGTTTTCCCACCATATATGTGTCCTGCCTCATGTTATTCTTGTGTTGATAGTAGCCACTTGACAAATATTAGAGACCACCCTTGAGGTTTTGGGACAAATGACATTATGCAACTGTTACTTAAATTTGCGACAATATGAGCTATTTGGTCCTTGACAGGTTCTTTCTTAACTATATTCACTAGTATTGGACAATTAGTCCCTCTATGTTCTGAATTCTATCTGTGCATGTTAGGCTCCTGGGTCAGGGACGTTGACATTGCACTTGAAGAACTTTGACGAGGGAACGTCCTGTCTTGGCCAAATGGCAAGCAGAGACTTGTGATGCAGTAGTTGCTCTTGTCTGCATCGTCAATAAATTTTAATGTCAGTAGATGATGAAAGTGACTCGTTCATATCGGTTTAACTTTTACGGATTAATTTGTATAGGACAAATATTTTAGGGGCTAGAAAAGAAGAAAGATGAACTTTATAATTAGTACCATTAACCAAGGCTAAATGGGAGAATATCTAGTCTAAGGATATGGTGATTCAGAAAGGTGCTTTAAACCACAATTTGTTTAGCAACCGAGGCCACCCTGCTTGATTGTGCTTTTTCTTGGGTGATGCCAGATGGTGTTAAAAAGTGAACAAATAATTTACAAGATACTCTTCCAAAGCACAGTGCGGTGTCCATTGAACTTAATTTATGAAAAGCTCGCTTGGTTAAAGCATCACTTTCTTGCCACGTTCATTTGTAGCAGCACAAGAAGCGAACAGAATCTCACCACTATGGTTGGCATATTCCATGCTGTAACCAGGCCACTTGATTAGTGACAATGAAGGTAAACAAGTTTCAATGTTTCTGATAAAGTGAATTCTTGCGCTTCAATTTTGCACTAATAAATAAGTACATCATTAAAATCTTGTGTCTTCTGTATATCGAACTTCCTAGTTGCGAAGTGTCGAATGTCTAATGGCAAAACGGCTTGTATTTATGGTGCAATTAGCTTATCGGACACTTTGGTACTTTGGCCCGTACGGTGTGGCTTCCATATCTCCTTTAATTTATTGCCATCTAATTCGATTTGTTGACAATTTTCTTTTCCATTTAATAGATTTCATCAGATACAAAAGATAAGGTTTTCTATTTTAATATATCTTTGAGGGTTATGGGCTTTTGTTTGTTAATCCATGACAAGCGACCCAACTAGCAAATAGATTATGCTCGTCGGATGAACTTTACTTCTCAGTGGGAATATTTTAATTCCAAGAGCTGCATGCTAGAATGTCAAAACTCAATCACTGGACTGTCCCTTGATAACAACTTGAAGGCTGTCAGATTATTTTTAGAAAAGTAAATGAGAATAAAGTTTAAGGAGCAAAATGGGGACACGCAGAAAGCAAGGGAAACGCAAGGGAATTAATTAAGCCTTTGATAAAAGCAAAGTGATGTTTATTGTGATTAATCATCTTAAGGCTATGTTTGGTTTCTTGTTTGCAACATCCAAACTCAAGTGATCACTGCCTATCTTTTTCATATGGCTATTTCATTGAATCAGATTTGAACATTGTTGGGCATGATGAAAATTATTTTTCTAAAGTTTTTTTTTTTTTTTTTGCTTTCACATAGATTTGAATTTGAGATTTCATGCTTAAGCGGCCAAAATCTTTTCCACTAGCACTAACACCACTAGCACCTATTGGTTAAAATGATCATTACCTTATTTATTTGGTTTTCCTAAACCTTTATTTGAGACGAAATAAATCTTCCCTTCAAGCCAGGTTTGAGCCAAAAGCAACATAATAATCTTGTTTGTCTATTCTGAATTTAAGCCAACATGTGTTTTGCAAAGTCTAATCCAAACACGCCTTTCAACATCTACCTCTTTCTCTTTGTCTGACTGGTTCTGTCTATCTATCTAATGTGACTTATACCAGGAAATGTATACAATACTGAAGAATTTAAAACCACGAATCCACAATGAAGTAACATCTTCAGAGTAAGCATCAATGTACAACAGGTTTTACAGTCACAAGAACCACCAGTAGTCTGATACTTCCCATCTTTGTAACTTGTATCCTACCATTACAACATTTACAAGGCAGATAGTAACGTTAAAATAAGATGACATGGTTTGATACTTTTTGTATGGAAATCGACGAATGATCAGGAATCTGATACGAGGAAATGTTCACCTTCCATCTGTCAAGAACATTCTGTAACATCGTAGCTTGATGAATTCTTGACGCTTAAGCCTTTACTTCTGCATGCTAATGTTCCTTCTCCTCCATTCCTAACGCCTGAAGGGCATGAGGCTCAATCTCATTGAAGCAATTAAAACCAAAGTCCAGAGAGCCCAATAACCAGGAACTAGTATCCTCCCAAGATGAAAGTGCCGAGTCATAATTCGCATTCTGTGCATCAGGTATACTTTCCCATAATGCATCCACCAGTGAAGTTTCTTCCAGCCACAAGTTGTTGGAGAGGTTGATTTCTTGCAGAAGTGGTTCATCCCCACATGAATTTTCAGTTGATGACGAGATTGAATTCTCCTTTGAGTTAAGAACATTCCCCTGATGATTATTGTCACTGTCAGATTGTGACAAATGCTCTGCAGGGGATGAACTTTTATCCTGAGAAGCAATTTCTTTGTTGAGAGGCTCGTGAGTAACAGGATCAATACCCATCTTAAGCAGCTTCTTCTTGATGTGGGTGTTCCAATGATTTTTAATCTCATTGTCTGTTCTTCCTGGTAATTTTGCAGCTATCATAGACCACCTGTCACAGAGCAACCCATAATCTTTATACTGATATAAGATTAACTTTGGATTAGTCCTATTCTGTGCTCCCATTTAGATTCTGTACATGACAACCTTAAGGCCCTTTTATATAACCAAAACTATATCTGAATTTGGTGGGCATAGCAAGCAAATCTGAACCTTAATGATTTACAGTTCAGAAAGCAAAGAAGAAAAGTCTAACCTGTTGCCAAGGCAAGAATGGAGATCTATGACAAGTTTCTCTTCTGCATCAGTGAGGAGGCCTCGCTTCAAGTCAGGACGAAGGTAGTTAGTCCAACGAAGCCTGCAACTCTTGCCACATCGCCTGAGGCCAGCGAGCTTTGGAACGGCTCGCCAGCAACAGTGACCATTAGTGAGAATGAAGTTGATGAGCTTCTTGTCTTCTTCAGCAGTCCACGGCCCTTTCTTCACTTCAAGTTTGTCACAGCAAGGTTGTCTCCCCATATTGCCCCCTCTTCCCTTGGCACTAGATGCTATTGTGACCCAAAACCTATATATATAAGGCAAGCCTACTATATACAAGCTTCTGGCTATATACTACTTACAATCCTTATTATAAAGGCTAATTTGACTTTTAATTTGATTTTAAATATAAGACTTAATTTCACTTTGTCCATCATATTTATCTATTTCTTTTCAAAGTACTCTTTGTAATATGTGCATATAATAATTCTAGTTAATGCACTTAATTAGTAAGGATATTTTAGAAAAGACAGCATCTTTTTATTATAAATCTAATTTTTTAAATCTACTTAAATTAATTAATTAGTTTTTATATTAAAAACCAAAAGTAGCACTATATTATATTCATACACACACGCTTATGGGTTCTGAAAGATATGTGGGACCTAAAATGGGATGTTCTGGTGTTTCGTGGATCCAACGGCAGAGCTCCATGTAACAAGTCTAGGGAGGAAAAAAAAAATTAAGAATCATTGTCCTTTACAAGTCCACTGGCTTAAATGCAATCTGACTCCAGCATTTCGTCATCACAACGTTCATTGGGAGTAGATTATGATAGGGTGTGAACAATCGCCAAAAGTGTTGGTGTGGATGAACAATATGACCGTTTGATGCCTCGAACAAGATAAGAAGCTCATAACCCTGCCACTAATCATGGGTAGGATCTGAATCTATACAGTAATGTTTCTAGTTATAGAAACAAAATCTGATAGCACATTATAAGTTCATATTAAAAGTTTTGCTAAAAATGTCCATAGCAAAGGGGATTAGGAGTATCAGTTTACATACATATATAATATTCAAAGACATGTTAGTCATAAACTATGATTAATTTTACTTTTTTTTTTTTTATCATTGACCTGGTAACCAGTAATATGAAGAAAAAAAATTTTATAAGTGAGAGATTGCGAGTTCGATTTAGTTTGTAACCTCATGCCGTGTCTATTCCTCTAATTCAAAATATATGACTTAGATTTCAAACTTTACGCAATACATTAAGAGTCAAATCTAGTTTATCAATCTCAATAATGTATCTATAAAAATTATAACCAACATTGTTCACAAGCCATAGACTTAAACTACACCCTTTGTCCTTTGTCCATTTACCTTAGAGGTTTGGTTTGTTTCAAAATAATTTTTGCTTTGGATTTCCAAGGAAGCTTTGTCTTCCAACATTATGTGACCCTTCAATAGTGCCAAATTTATTCTAAGGTATTATAATAAATAAGAATATTTTAGGGAAAAATATCATTATATTTTGTTAAAATTAGACTATTGATTAACTTAATCAACATACGCACCTCCAAAATGACAATACAAAACAAAAGATGCATCATTTACCGGCTGCAAATAGTGCTACTTATCTGTTTTTTTTTTTTTTTGGGGTCAAATGGTGCTACTTATCTTCGGTTTCGTACAAATACACAGGATCCATTCTAATTTCCCGTGAAATTAGTGCAAGCCCTAATTTATTTATTATCGTTATCCTTCATTCAAAAATTTTCATCTTACAATAAATTGTATAGTTTCAAATCATACACATTCCACTAATTACAACACAGCGTTAATTCCCTAGCTAATCATGCTTAGCTTTATTTACTTCTTATAAATCATTTTCGTAGAGATCCTTCCTTTGCTTTGGACAATTTTTGCGGTTGAGCCCAACTACTACCAATAGCACTTATTCCCTTCACACTATAAACTATTTAAGGGGCTTTAGTACTAACCATGAACCTTTTTCATACACACTGTCGAATACTAACTAGATATTTAAGAAACCTAGCTAAGAACCAAATGTACTAGATCTCTTAGTTATTTAGGAATTATTTTGGTAGATCATTTCGATAATTCCGCCGGAGATGCTACTTCAAGACTAACTAATCCGTATTGTTAGCCAAGTTTTTTTTTTTTTTTACGAAATACTACCTCCGATTCTTAATATAAGACCTTGTTTGATTTTTATTTTGATCCTAAATATAAGATCCTAATTTACTTTGTCTTTCATATTTATGTATTTTTTCCTAATATAGTCCTTCTAACAATAATAATTCTAACCATACACTTGATTAGTAAGAATATTTTAGGAAAGACAACACCTACTTATTACAACTAACTAAATAAACTTTTTTTCTTAATCTCCTCAAATTAATCAACTAGCTCTTATAAATAGGACCGGAGGTAGTATATTATTATCCATATATTATATAGATAAGTACATCAAAGGCTTGACTTGTCCATACTACCTCCTGCACTTAATCTAAGATCTATTTAGACATTTAATTTAGTTTTAAATATAAGATTCTGATATACTGTGTCTCTCATATTTATTTATTTTTTTCAAAAAAGTTCCTGTAGTAGTTGCATATGTTAAAATTTCACTAAATGGTAGTTATAGCTAATAGTATGATTAGCAAGAGTATTTTAGAAAAGATAACACTTATTTACTGCAAATAACTAACTTAACAAACTTTTTAAATCTATTCAAATTAGTTAAACAGCTCTTATATTAAAGACTGGAAGTAATATATTCTACCATACGAATTAATTATCTCTGAAGTAAGAAATAATTCCAGGAACCAAAAGTCATCCTGCGGATAACAACAAATGCAATAATGGATGAAAATTTTATGCGACAAGACAATAAATTAATGAACTTTCAGACATCTCAAGTCTTTCCTTTCTTCTGAAATATTAATAAACGCAATTCAAAGTACAATCAGAATCATAAATTAAAGATGCGTTCATTTCATGGTCATAATTAAATGACCAAAACTTTGGGTTAGCATCTTTAACACGTATCAGTCAACGACACTCATCCACATATACTAACACAAACCACGTAACCAAAGGTCATGTTTGGTCCACTCATTAATTCTTCAATTCTAGCTTACCTCATTCTCTCATCAGCTTCTTCGTAAGCACTGCTTAAAACGTATTTGGATTAGCTTATTTTAAGTAATTTTATGCAGAGAAGAGTTTTATCTCGAATTGTGTAAAGCTGAATATGGGGGTTTCACCAATACCTGGTTCTAAAACTAATTCGTCTGTCTATTACAAACCGGATAAGATTTCTGTACGATGTTTTCGTGTTTTGTGTAGATTCAAAGATGAATAGATATTCAACGTTTCTTGGTCATTATTGAAAATGAATAAGATTCTAAGAACATGTGCATGGTTCATATGAATAGCGGCAAAATCTACTTAGACACGCACTTACAAGTCACAAGAAAAGAAATCAAAACCATTCCACTTTGGCGGTAAGGACAAAAACTATGGGTAAGTCAAATTTTTGTTTTAGAGGAATTGACCCTTTGGTGTTGGTGATGCATACGCATATGATGGACCATGCGAGTCTAAAGCAGGGCATATTATTTTATTCATTAACTTTCTTTTTAATCTTTGAAGGAAGAGGTCACTTTCAAATTTTTTGATAAAATATTTTATAATTGTATAATATTATTAGGCTAGATTTCAGGAGTAGTTGTATTAGCTTTATAGAAATAATTTTATAGTATATAAGATAAGTATGTAAGAGGATTTTTGTCTTCACTTACGTAAAAGTTTTTTTATTTTAATTGTTAAAAATATAACAATAGTAGCTCTTCCAATGATTCTTTTATTTACCGGCTGATTTGAGCCTTGAATGTTGCTTCAAGAGACATAAGCATTTTTCAATATATTGAAATCTCATCTTCATAATAGATGAGTAGAACAGTATCTTCATAATAGATTTCAAATTGTCTCTGTGTCTCTTGTCCCCCCTACTTGCAGCTGTTATGTTTTACATAATCCTGCAGTTGCCTCTAAAAATGCTTTGAACTACGCAACCATTATTCCAAATCTTGTTGGAAAACACAAAAAATGAAACCATCAACCTCTGCTGGTTTATTAGGAGTAATGACTAGAACATCACTCTTGGCTGGTGCACTCATCTTTCCAAGCACCTATTCTAGTAGGTAGTCTCAACTCTTTTCTATGAATGAAGCCCCTTCCTTAATTTCTTCAACAAGTTTCTCCACATGCCCAATATATAATATAAACTGTGACAGCTATGGATGAAGTCCTGTAAGGCCTCTATTTCTACTCCATAGGAGTTCTTCTTTTCCATGAAAGTGACCAAAGAGTTGATGCAGCCCCAGTTAAATAAAGAGGAAAAAAATGGTTCTTCCCTCTCCAACTGAAACCAAGTAGAAATTGTTAGTTATAGAGATTTCAACAGTGTTTTCTCAGTCCTAATGTAATAGAGTTGTTAGCTTTTACACATTGTGAATCTTCAGCAAACTTAAGGGAACCAAGCTAATGAACCATACTCATCATGCATGAACCCCATGCCAGATTGCAATGTAAACCACATACAAGGTGAACAGAAGTACTTCACTCTAACAGTGATAATTGTTAATAGCTGAAGAAATCAAGCCTTAAAGCATCACTTCGCAGGAATCTTCCGTTCAAGGAGAAACTCCTCTCTTCATCTTTGGATAAGGTATTGCTTCTAGGAAAGTAACAAACGAATGCATTCCTCAAACAGTAATTGGAGATACCGCGGGATCTTTGTATTTGGGATTGCTCGAAGCTAGATAAACTGAGCCAATCTTGAAGCTGGACACTGTAAAGGCTGAGATCAACAGTGAGTACAGGCTTGTGACTCAGGCTTCAAGGGTGAGCACATAGAGGCCTTCAGCAAAGAATTACCTCTCATTCTCTCTCTATCTTCGACAACAGGACAAGAGGGAAAGATACGAGTTCATACCTGCAGAAACATAAAAGGCAAAATATGAGAGAAAGGCATAGACCCAAAATATCACAACTTCAAGATTGATTTGAATGAGAAAAGAATATGGGTTCGCAATTAGATGTCTTTGGCAGACAGGCGAGGTCATGATGGCGAGCTTCAACGAAACTTTTCTTAACACCGAGTAAAGGAAGGCTTCGACAGTGGCGGCAAGGTCCAACAATAACGCAAAATGTAACAATAAGATGGGTTTCGGAAGGAAGTCATCGCCGACTATGTAGAAATGAAGCAAACAAGAAATCTAGCTAGGGCCTCAAGAAATGACATTGTGAAACCAAGATTGCAGCGGGAAAACAAGATCCATTAGGCTTCATTACTTTTAAGCACTCGACATTATTCTCTTGAAATGCCGTCGTGCTTGCTTTGCTTGATCTACAGACCCTTCAGCCTATAGTTAGAGGGATAAGAATCCAATTGGGAGCATCATAAATACTAGTAGGGGAACATGAGATAGACATCTTCCTCGATAAGTAAAGGTCGGCCATATCATCATCATGATCCAGTGGGTTTTCTAGTTCATGATCTTATCTTTTGAACTCTATTTGTCAACCTGGTCATTGCACTTTTCAGTTTGCGTACTCTGTCCAAGTTATGACTGCTAATTGTATAGGTAAACTCATTTTAAGCTGGATAAGTATGTGTCTCTAACTCTCTTGTCCATGCATCATGAAAACTACAAATTGCCTCTAATGCAACCTCTAAAGCATGGAATTCAAATGGAAATTCTTTTCCTTCATCGCCTTCAACTTCTTGAGCACATGCCTCTACTCTTTCTCTCTGGCCTTGCACTGCGTACGAGCTACTTTGGACAACCTTCTTTGAAGTTACTCAACAATAAGAATAACATCATCATCCAACGAGTCTCTAAGCAATACGTCGTCTGCAATGATAATAGCTTTAATATGCTCTAAATTGAGGACAATGACTTTTACTATACCCAAAATGGAAGAAGGGTGCGATAACAGCGGGTCAAGAATTTGAAGACCCCTCGAGTGAATTTGAACTCGGCGCATAATAGCGTATTTGTCCACATCCAACACAGTGCCGTTGTCATTGCAGTCCAGCAGAATCCAATTTCTCAAAACAGCAGTTTTCTTCTTTAAAGCAGGCTGAAGACCCGCCATAAATCCTGAAAGTGCCATTTGCAAGATCAAAAGCATGATGGGCCCATAACACCCAGGTCCCAAGATCAGAACTTACTTTTGATACCATGTTAACTAATGAAGAATGGAGATGATAAAATTCTCATTAATGAACAGGTAAGACTACAAACCCATTAAGGGTAAACAACAAACCTCACTTAGGATTTAAGAGAGGACCTATGTTACCCTCTTATTAGGTAAGGATTTCACTATTATACACATTTAACCCATACACTAAGTCCCTATATATAAATTCTATATCAATTGTCTAATGACACTTTTGCCCTCTCTTAACATACTGACGTTCCCCACTTTAATAGGTATCTCACTTCACTTCCATACATGGCACCAATAGTCCGGATCAATTTGGGTCACCGACATGGGGCGTGTAGAAATTACTTGCCAGTGATATTTTCATAAATAAGATGTAAGATTGTTGATTTTTTATATCAGTTGAAAACAACTAATGTAGAAAAATCTTCGTTGAGATTGACTGTATGAAATTGATGTAGAATTTTTTTATTTTTTTGTTAAGCACAAGTATTCTGTTGGAGGTAAATATGGACACCTCTTCGAGTATGGATATAATCCTTGGTTCACCACCTAGCTTCTCCCTCTGATCCAACCCCTATTGATATATATCTTTTTCTTTATTGCTCGGGAGAAAGAACTTTTATGCCAGTGCCATATCTTTTTTCCTTTCCTTTTTATTTTTTTAATTAATTACAAATGGTAGCACGCGAGATGGAATCTACCATTTTGGGACCAACAAAGGAGAAAGGCGTGTCACTAGGGAAAAGGCCAACAGCTTCCTTCCTTCTTTCATGGCCCTCGATATCACCAAGTTAACTCAGTCTTAGAATAAAGTTCACATAATTTTTGTTGCTTACTTTTTGGTCACTATAAGCGAACATTTCTTGGAGGAAATGATTAAGATGGCTATCTTTGTAAAGGCTTATAAAAGAACTATAATCATCGGAAATTGAAACTTCTATGCAATTCACTTTCTCAAAAACAAAGAAGTTCAAAAAAAAAAAAAAAACCTATATAACTACTTTCATTTTGAGTGGTTATTGAATATTTTTTATTGCTTTCTTCTAGTTCTGTCCAGCACGTTGAAAAAGGGTGGCCATTGGAATAAAGTTTGGAAATAAGAAGAATTCAAAATTTCAACAATGCAGTCATCAGTGTTCTGACGATCAGAGCAATCCCACCAGGACATGATTAGCAATGGTATACGCAATTCGTGTTCTAAGGACGATGATTTGGTCGGAAAATTTAGAGCACAAGTTCGAAGTACGAAGAGTTGGCAAAAAGAAGTTAGAAGCACGAAGAACATGTACTACATGCAGCACTAATCAAATCAGGCACTTAGTAGGTGATTAAAGTCCAAATTATTTGGCGACCTCAAGTTCACATTTAATATTTTGGCCGACACAAACTGATGGCATGCAATCACCTGTTAGTCTGTCGAGAGAATGTCAATGACCAATGCAATATGACAGCTAAATTGGTCTCATGCTAACATTAAGAGTACTTAATCATATATGCGGTGAGAAGGAAGGTTGTGTGTCATGGTCCGTGTTCCATCCAAATTACTACTTATATCATTTGTTTATTAGTGCATTCACACAGTTTTAAACCATTTATTCTAATATCGAATCTAACACCAACGAGGATTGGATCTAGTAGAAGGAACTAGTAACTCACAACGGAATAAGTAAATATTTAAATTCTCATTGGGAGTGGCTCAAATAAAATTCTGTGCGTAGCATAAAAAATAATATTAAATCTGACACTTTGTATTAAATTAAAGTTCAGAATCACACTAACAAGAGCTAGATCTAACAATAGAACTAGTCTCTAACAATATAAAGAATGAAGGTTTGAATTCTTGATAGAAGAGATGCCTACATTTAGTACTAACAATACCTGAAAAAAAATTCTTACAAGCCTTTGAACACAAAATAGCAACAAAATCAACCAAACTTTATATATATATATATATATATATATATATATATATCCTTTGGGGACAAAAATAGTCACATCTCACTAAGAGGGGATTGGGTCTAAGAAAAAGTTACAATATGATGAACCAAGATTCAAATCTCTGCTAAGAGAGGTGTCCTTCGTAATTGTTCATCTTTCATAAATCCAAGAATTTCACCTCTGACTATGAAATATAAATGCCTCTGACTGTCCCTGTTAATTATTACTCCGATCCCGAAGACTAACACAATAAGATTAGAATCCTATAATGTTATCCTATGCTAATTTATCAAAGAGTGTAAACTGGTTTTGAGCAATCTAATTTCTTCAAAGTAACAGTGCCAAAAGGACAACCCAACCAATTAAGAGCAAATCAGGAACAACCCACCATGAGAATCAGTCATCCCCAACATCCAAATTGTAGTCAAGAGAAGTGTCCTCAACAATAGACTAGGTCCAAGTCCCTTGGAAGGGGACGCTGGAGAGGGTGAAAGCCTTATCGTGCTCAGACCGTATCGCACCGCAAGACACTATCAGCAAGTTAGGTTGTTTGGTAATGCAGCTGCTTGTTTAGAAATGTAACCCCAATCGGATGATAAATTCCATCCAGGACTAAATACATGTGATTATGCTTAGGGAAAGAAAACAAAAGAAAAGAAATAGTCACATTTCTTCCACCAATTGTATTCTTAAAGCCTCTAATTTACTCATCATTTTCGTCATTACTTTCTCCGCCTACGCCTTGCCATATTGGCGATGACTTCGTAACCAACCCTTAAAAAACCATTTATTTTGTGATCCTAGCATAAACACGAAGCTGAGGTTCTCACACTTGATTTCAGGTCATGACAAAATCCCGCTGCTCTCCGGCAGTTCAAGAATGTTTTAGTTAGAAAAAATTTTCATATTAAGTCTACTTTTCATTACTGTGTTGACTTTATTTTTACATTAAATAGAAATAAAGTTACAAAATTGTTAAATTTTAAGTTAGTATTTTCTCGATTTGAGAAAAATGGTATTACAAATAAAACCATAACCATAAATAGTTAAATTGACAGCTTGGAAGACTCTTTATAACCGAAATCTTTCCAATTCCATCAGGAGAACTTTGAGCCATAGCATCTCGCACTACATACATAATCGCTATTAACGTCTAGATACCCATATGGATTAGCAGTGAGCAACTGTGATTTTAAATAATCGTGAATTTACAAGTGACATTGACTATAAGTGACACTACTTAATCGTAATTTCTCTTCGAATATTTTTTTAATAAGTGATTTTAAAAATTGTGATTATGTTTGGTTTTCATTTACTAAAATCGCTTATGGATGTGTAATTACTAAAAAAGACATGAAATTAATATTTGAGGAGAGACTTTTGAAAGAGCGTGAGAGGATAGATTGGAGAAAACTTAGTTGCTAAAAATTAATCAGAATTTTTCAAACACATAAACTACTCTTTGTTGCTTATTCTAAAAATGCGGTAGAAGGGTAAAATAACAATTTATCGGGATTTTATAAAAGTTACCTAAACAAGACAAACATGCTTCATAATCACTTATTTGAATTTAAATAGGTTTATTTAAGATCCTACCACTTATCCAAACAGGCTCTAAATTAGATTTAGATGACTTGTCATTAATTTTATAGCTAAAGGGCGTCTTAATGAAAGTTCAGAATCAAATTTTGGAACAATGCCACTATTTCTTTTGTTTTTTCGGGACAAATACATGGGGCAGGCGAAAGTTCAGTTGGAAGACTGACCTACGGCAAAATAAACATGGCCACAGATAAAAAGGAAGCTGTGAAAAAAATTATAACAGACCTTCGAACACAGGAACGAAAAAAAAAAACAAAATAGCAACATATCAAATAAAACAACCAAACATTTTGCATCCCCACAAGCCTGAAATAGTCTCACATCTCTTCCACCAATTGTTTACTTAGGGCCTCCAAATTTGCTCATCATTTTCGCTATTACTGGAGCTACCTTAGGATTCGCCTGATGCTTTGCCAAATTGGCAGGGTTCTTCATGACTAACCAACCCAAAAAGGAAACCAAGAAAAATTGGAAGTTAAATGATAATCAAAACTATTATCATTGAGAACCAGCATCCAAGAAATCCACAATAACGGGGGCAGGAAAAGGTACAATAGATTCCAATTCCAGACAATATCATAGCTAGAAAATTAAGGGGAAAAAATACACTATATTTTCCAATGTCAGGGTAGGTACGTTAAGGAAAGAAATTTGCAAACAAAATAATAAACCATCACTTTCAAAACAGATTCTTATGGTTTCAAATGCAGGGTACGAGAAAGCTTCCATTGCTTCCTGTTCCAATCGACTCTAGTATTTTGGATTCATAGTAATATCACCCATCCCAATCAATTTCATGCAACAAAGATCAACCAAAGTCAAATCCAAAATGTAGAACTTACATGTTAACATGACAGTAACAATAGCACATGGATTTGAGGTATCATAAAGAAGAGTTTGAACTAGAAGTGTTATAATTGGTTTCTTACGTACCATCTTGCATAGCAGCCATGACCTCTGGGTCACTAAATGCTGCCATAAGCTCAGGATCCTGGAATTAGTCGAGATACAATAGATATTAGGACTATAATAGACAGAACAATTGTTATAAAATATAAAGACATGCCTAGGACAATAATTTTTCTATCCAGCATAGGGACAAAATAAAATTAGAACTTGCTTGCATCAGATATAACAAAACATGACATCTCCTAGTGTTGAGTTATGGGCTCTAGCCCAAATTAGGCCCATTAACAATCAGTAAAAACTCTGTTTTGTAAATATATGTCTAAGATCCTAGATTAGATATGATAAGATAGATTTACTACCTTTCTTCTCTATATATTCAGACTCGTACTCTTTAAGGTACATCAATAATATATCTAAGGTGCACCCAACTTAGTTTCTACATGGTGTGAGAGCCAAGAACCAGTATCCTGCTTCCGTATTGACCAGCGACTCCCATCTTAGCTTTTGTCAACATCGCTGTTTTTTGGGTGCAGTTTTGATCCTTGCTTCAGTGTTTCATTCTCGCTCTCTGCATCTTGAGCTGTTCTTCCTCGGTCTTCGACGATATCACACTACAAGTCATTGCTTCTCTGTTCAGCAATGCTCGACCAGTTTGACTCTCTTCTCCCACATCGCCATATCGTAGATGGCGACTCTCCGGTTCAAGCACGTTGCCATCGATGCCTCTCCCGATGCCTCTCCCGTCTCCTCTTACGTGAGTGACGTCCACAGGAGTGCCCAGACTTTGTTCACTCGATCAGAGCCTGATCATATATCCTATCTCCTATTTCTGTTCTCTATGTCCCCTGTTTAATGGCTCATTTTGATCCTAAGATGACATTCAGTACTTATCAGGCTCTTAACACTACAAGTGACCCCAAAGGGGCTAACTCATCCAGCACCCCATGGTTGAAATATCTAACCCAAGTACTGTGTCACCTGTAGACAACTCCAAGAGCAATCCTCATCATAATCTCATAAAATAGTAGCAATTCACTTACAGCAGAAGAAGTAAGACTCAAACTAAGGACCTACAAACCAGTGGAGATGCTCACTTGAGGCAAGGCCTATCTGACTCTCTTACTTCAAACACTGAAAATCAAGATGATGAATTACCTATAGCTCTCAAAAAGGGAAAAAGAAGGTGCAAGGTACAACATCCTATACAAAACTTTGTAGCGTATGACACGTCTCCCAAGCTAAAAGCTTTTGTGCATAACGTGTCATTAGAAAAACTTCCACAAAATATTCATGAATTTAAGGAAGTTCAATGGCAAAAGGCCGTGAAAGAGGAATTAGACGCATTAAAGAAAAATGGCACTTGGGAAATTGTTGATCTTCCCCCCGAAAAATCTCTTGTTGGATGCAGATGGACATTCAACAAGAAGTACAACCCCAATGGCAGCATTAATCGTTATAAAGCAAGATTAGTAGCCCAGGGGTTTACACAAGTCTATGGAAACCATTACCAAGAGACATTTGCTCCGGTTGCAAAGCTTAGCACAGTCAAGGTACTTATGTCTCTTGCAACAAACCTAGACTGGCCATTGTACCAATTGGATGTAAAAAATACATTCTTGAATGTGGACCTTGAGGAGGGGGTATATATGAAAACTTCCCCATGGCTGGATAAAGAGATAGCCAAGAATAAGATGTGTAAGTTAAAAAAAATCCTAGTATGGACTTAAACAGTCCCCCCAAGCATGGTTTGGGAAGTTCACACATACAGTTAAGAATTTTGGATTTAAACCATGTCAAGCAGATCATACTCTATTTGTGAAACATAATTCCAACAGAAAGGCTACGATCTTAATTGTATATGTAGATGACATTATCATTACAGGTGACTGGGGTGAAGAAATTCAAAAACTTAAAGCTCAGTTGTCCAAGCAGTTCGAGATAAAGGATTGGGGGTAGTTGAGATTTTTTGGGTATGGAAGTTGCTAGAAATCAAGAAGGAATTTCTGTATCACAACAAAAGTACACCCTAGATCTCCCTAAGGAGACAAAAATGTTAGCACGTAGACCAGTTGGGACACCCATGGAAGGAGACTACAAGTCAACTACAAGTAAAGAAGAATGAGCCTTCTCCCCCTCATGTTGATCCAGGGAGGTACAAAAGACTTGTAGACAAGTTGATCTACTTATCACACACAAGGCCAAATATCTCTTTTCTTGTAAATGTGGCTAGTCAGTACACAAGCGATCCTAATGAGGAACATAGGAACCTTGTAATGAGAATTCTACACTATCTCAAGATGAATCCTGGAAAGGGACTATTTTTCAAAACGGAGAACCATCAAGGTATTAAAATTTTCACAAATGCTGACTATGGAGGTTCAATACCAGACAATAGATCTACTACTGGATACGCCACCTATGTATGGGGTAACCTAGAGACATGGAGAGCTAAGAAGCAAGTTGTCTCAAGAAGCAGTGTAGAATCTGAACTCCAAGCATTAGCACAGGTAATGTGCGAAGGACTATGGCTATTGATGCTACTCAAAGAACTCAAAAGATGTAAACTTGCCAGTACAGATATTTTGTGATAACACATCAGCTATAAAAATGGCCAAAATCCCGTCCAACATGACAGGACAAAGCATATGAAGATCGATCGACACTTTATAAAAGAAAAGATAGTCAAAAATGTTTGCAATATCTCATGTCAAGTCAAATTCCCAGGTAGCTGACTTGCTCACAAAGTCTTTTGAAAATCAAGGTTTGAAGAACTCATATCCAAACTGGGGATGATTAACATCTACTCCCCAACTTGAGGGGGAGTGTTATGGGCTCTTCCCCAAATTAGGCCCATTAGCAATCAGTAAAACCTCTATCTTATAAATATCTTATATATCTAAGATCCTAGAGTAGATATGATAAAATAGATTTAGATATTAGGTTTAGATTTAATTTTTTAGTTACTGCCTACCCTTCTCTATATATTCAGACTCGTTGTACCCTTTAAGATACATCAATAATATATCTAAGGTGCAACCACCTTAGTTTCTCCACCTAGCTTTATAAGCAACAGAAAAGCATGATAATAAACCAAGTCCAGATCAACTTACATTCAAGATTTTGCCAAAATCAACATTTCCAGGCACCCCTCCCGGCATGCCACCAGGGAAGCCTCCTGGCATACCTCCCCCCATGCCCGCTGGCATGCCTCCAGGAAAACCTCCCCCCATGCCTGCTGGAAAGCCCCCTGGCATGCCTCCAGGATTTCTGCTGGAAGATGATTCCTCTTGCTTCTTAGCCTTCTCATATGCAGCCTAGAACAATATGAACAGGAACAGCTTAAGTATATGGAAATCAATGGCAGGTTAAGCATTTCAGCTACTATTTATATTAAACTAAGAACCTCAGCTTCAGCACGGCGGCGTTGTCTTTCACGCTCAGCTTTTTTGTCCTCTCTTTCCTTCCTCAGCCTGTCATATTTCCGACGATGCTCCTCAATCTTGTGAGCATTTGGCTCCACCTATATAATTAATATCAAGCAATGAGATTGAAGATAAATCCAACCATTTTCACTACCCTATTCTTCAGCATTGCTTTTTGTTAAAATAATAATAAGGTGCCACAAGTTAAGAAAGAAGACATACGAAAAAATTTTAACGAGAACACTGGCTGCAGAGCAATTATACCTCTATACAACCTTTCAACTCCAATCACTCTGTTATTTGTGCTTATATAGAGTGAGTACAAAGTACAACTACAATTGGCAGGGACCTCTAGTTTGCACAACTCAATGGCATATCGTTCTCTGTTATTTGTGCTTATATAGAGTGAGTACAAAGTACAACTACAATTGGCAGGGACCTCTAGTTTGCACAACTCAATGGCATATCGTTCCTCACGCACCACCTCACTGTCTAATTCCAACATGAAGCAATCTCTATGAATTTATATTTCCACGTAATTATATAACATAAAGCCCTCTTCTCACGCTCCCAATGCATACTCAAAACTAATACACTGTCCCTGTGGACACACGATCACTCATTTCTCAGCTAATCACATGGCTTGAGACCCAAGTCTTTTCTTTTTCACCTCTTTTTTTCCTGGGGAAAAAAAATTTGCAGAAGGTCATTCTATGTTCACCTCAATATGTTGCTACATTTCATTTCCAATACAAAGTAGCCTCAGCGGGGCTACGATTTGCAGCTGCATCCATCCACAAAGTGATGCATGTCTAGAGACAATTAGCCAGAAGTTTTAACCATTTCTAGTGCCTCTATACCTCTATCTGCCTATTTCCGTCTTAGAAAACATTTAAGCACTTATCAACATTGTTTTAATTTTCTACAGATCATGTTAGCAGCATCCCGACATTTTAAGGTAAGATAGTTTGTTACAGTCATATTACATCATATATTCAGCTCTTCTTTTACTGGTAACGGGGTTCACAATACATGTGCATATCTAGGCTTTCAGAGAACCTAAAAAAGAACTTAAAATAATGCAAATTAAACTTTAAAATCATATCAATTTATTACATGTTACCAAAATAAAAACGAGATCAAACCTTCTTTAGCACAGCATTTATTTCCTCATCATAATCTAACTTCGAAGCCAAATGAAGATCCTTTGCCGCTTCTTCCCACTGACCAAGCATTGCTCGAGCCATACCACGAGACTTATAGCCTTTGGCAGAATCAGGATTAATCTGGAACATGCATACTTTTTTTAATATATAATATCTCACAATCATTGTACTGAGTAATAATGACATCGATTTAAAATACTCATAAAAATTCAGTAAAATTAAATGAGCACAATCTTGTTATATCTTTTTTTCTTTTTTTAAAGCAAACACAATCTTATCATCCTTGCTTATATAGATGTCGTGCTGAAATGTGTACCCAAAGATCTAGAAATCCGTCAAAAAGTATATTCATAACTCATACAAGAACAGAGAAGTAAGATTATAACCTCCAAAGCTGCATTTGCATCCCGGATTGCTGCATTAGGTTTCTTCATTTTGATGTACACGGTAGCTGTAAATGATCATGACACATAGCCAATCAACATTCAGTCTTAGCCAACAAAAGATAATACTTCGAACAAACACCATTTCAAATCAAGTGATACCTCTAGTGGCGTACATAATGGCAGAGGTAGGGTTGAGTATAATGGCCTCCGTCAAACTATCAATTGCCTCTTCCAACTTACCTACATTTCAAAATAAATAAACAAAATCATATATAATTGCAAATGTCCCATATCAGTCATCACACAAACAAATAGATAATACCATCTGAAATGGCTTCCATGGCTTTAGCTTTAGCCGCTTGGGAAGCATCACGACTCTCTTCAGTCACCTCCACAGAGGAGTCTCCCATCTACAATATAGCTTATATCCATCAATTTAAGGGGGAAAAAAGGATTATATTTTAATAAACAAGGGAAAAAGAAAGAGTCATAGAACAACCTTCTGTGGAGGGTCATTATCTGGCTCAACGGTTTCACCCTCCAGCTCTATATCAGATTCAATTATCTCGTCTTCATCTTCCTCTTCATCCACCTTGCTTCGTCCGCCCCCAACATCTTCTGCGTCATCATCGCTATCCACCCTCCCCTTTTATCGTAAAAAGACACAAATCAATATTCATATAAGCACAAACCTATTTATAAAAGAAACTAAGATTGAAGAAAATTAGATTACCGCATTGGAGTAAGCAGAAGGAGGGAGCTTCGCGCCCAGACTGAAACGAGCAAGAAAACACAAAAAATTAAAAAAAAAAAAAAATACAAACATCCTTAGCGGGGATAACATAATGAAATAGAAATGAATCAGAGAAATTCCTTCACCTTTCGAGGTAATCGCAGAAAAACGAAAGAGATGGATCGTTGAGGATTGAAGGATTAGACTTGCACTGTTCAACGAAGCTCTCCAATTGACGGATCTTAGAGGCGTCCATTGTATTGGGTTTTCCAAATCTATAAGCAGGCAGAAAAGATAACGAACATCAAATTGAGCACAATACACAAATCCCAAAGCTTTTAGCTTCGTCCCCTTTTATGAATACTGGGCGACTCGCAGCTCACTACCGGCACTCCCCTTTGTCTCACGAGTCTCTTCTAGCAGCTTCTACTGGATGATACGTGTTAATCTCATTCTCCCAAAATTAGGAAAAATTATAAAGAGATACCGAAAAAAAAAGAGAGAGAGAAAATGACAGATAAAGAAGGTGGAATTCATGAAATTTCAATTTGAAAAGCTAAGGAAATGTAATGACAGAGAGTGAAGTCCTTTCCAAATTAGAATTTTGAAATTCAGTGAAATGACAAAAATGCCCTTTGTCTTTTTTTTAAAAAAAAACTGGCGGCCGGCCGCTGCCGGCCACCGATGTGGTGGCTGCCGGTGGAGTTTTTTTGTAACAATGCTTTTTTTTTGTATGGGAGAATATTGCAAGAAATGGTTGGGGTGGGATTTGATCCCACAACTCCTTGGCCATTTGGGCCAACAAAAAAGTAAATAACCATTGGGCCATCAAAGATTTGTTAATTTTATAATGCAAACAAAAATATAAGTTGACTCTTTTGCTGTGATTCCAGCCCGTGACAACAATTTACCTGAGGATGACAAGTCTTAACTGAGAAATAACAAGTCTAAATTTGATACTAACAAAGTAACTTTTCCTGATACATAACAAGAAGTAGCATGTACATTAATTAAAAATGACAATAATTTATTTGAAAATTACACGTCTTTACTGAAAAATGACACATCTAAACGTGAGATTAACAATATACCTTTTCCTGATACATAACAAGAAGTAGCATGTACATTAATTAAAAATGACCATAATTTATTTGAAAATGACACGTCTTTACTGAAAAATGACAAGTCTAAACTTGATATTAACAATGTATCTTCTCCTGATATATAATATAAACGTGAGATTATGTAATCTAAACTTGATATTAATAATGTGTCTTCACTAGTAAATGACACGTCTTTTTGTTGGAACCTCCTCTTTTTTTTTAATTAAAAAATGGGTTAGTTGTCCAAAAAAAAGTAATAATAATAGCAGTACTAGATAGTATTTAATGACAGAAAAATACCAAATAATTCCCTTTTTTTTAAGAAGCTCAATATTCGCAGCACGCACATTGTTGTTCTTGTATTACACTCAAAAGGCTCCTTCTTGCCTTAATTGCTTAATTACAATTACAAGGATAGAGCTTTATTTTATATTAAAATAAGGCTCTAGTTTATATTTTATATACAATTAACAAGTCTAATCTCACGTTTAGATGTGTCATTTTCTAGTAAAGACACATTGTTAATCTCAAGTTTAGATTACATAATCTCACGTTTAGATTATGTATCAGGAGAAGACACATTGTTAATATCAAGTTTAGACTTGTCATTTTTCAGTAAAGACGTGTCATTTTCAAATAAATTATGGTCATTTTTAATTAATATACATGCTACTTCTTGTTATGTATCAGGAAAAGGCATATTGTTAATCTCACATTTAGACGTGTCATTTTCCAATAAAAACGTGTAATTTTCAAATAAATTATTGTCATTTTTAATTAATGTACATGCTACTTCTTGTTATGTATCAGGAAAAGTTACTTTGTTAATATCAAATTTAGACTTGTTATTTCTCAGTTAAGACTTGTCATCCTCAGGTAAATTGTTGTCACGGGCTGGAGTCATAGTAAAAGAGTCAACTTATATTTTTGTTTGCATTATAAAGTTAACAAGTCTTTGATAGCCCAATGGTTATCTATCTTCTTGTTGGCCCAAATGGCCAAAGGGTTGTGGGATCAAATACCACCCCCACCATTTCTTGCAATATTCTCCCATACAAAAAAAAAACACTGTTACAAAAAAACTCCACCAGCAGCCACCACAACAGTGGGCGGCGGTGGCTGCCGGCTGTCGGCGGCCAGTCACCGGCGGTGGTTGCCGGCGGCTGGCCGGCGGTGAGGGGCTGAGTTTTTTAAAAAAAAAAAAAAAACAAAGAGCATTTTTGTCATTTCACTTAATTTCAAAATTCCAATTTGGAAAGGACTTCCCTCTTTGTCATTACATTTCCTTAGCTTCCCAAATTGGAATTTCATGAATTCCACCTTCTTTATCTGTTATTTTCCCCCAAAAAAAATATCATTTTTTATTTTAAAATTTGTTATTATAAACTATTTAAGTTATTATCAAAAAATTATAATAAATTTTTCTTTTTAGAACTTGATTGCAATTCTCCTCCAAAATTGATAGAAGAATGGAATAAGATGCTATAATTATTAAGGCGAAGGAGCGTTGTAAATATTAATTTTATTAATTAAAATAATTGATAATTTTTATTTTTTTTAAGGAAAAAGGAATAAAAATTGTTATCAAAACAAACAAAAAATCATTTTATAATAATAAAAAATTTATTTTCTATCTCATGCTTTTTTCCTAGTTTCTTCTAGTGGAAGCACGTGTTTGTGATATTTTAAAAAGTATGCAATTGCCATGCCACAACGAATTGCCAGAAAGATTCAATACGCGTGCAGCATTTTATAGGCATAGGATCTAAAATAAATATTTTTTCTCCCAAGCGTTTCTTTTGATTCGAAGTATAAAATTTTAATTTGTTTTATCTTATATATAGTTATATCTTTTTTCATGCTACCTATATATTTCAATTGCATGTATGATGCATAAACCATGCAGGAAATTTTTACTTAAAAGTGTTAGGTATTCAGAATTCCTTTTATTACAATTTTGTCCCGAAAATTTAAAACCGTAACAATATTACTCCTTATCATTAAAAATATTAACATTAAATATTATTATTTTAATTGTCCACATAATTTTTAGAAGTACAAGATAATATTATTACGATTTTAAACTTTTGGATAGACAGCACTTTCAAGTGAAAACATCCAAGAACAAATTTGGACATTAATCCAATCAAAATTATATTTAAATATTAAAAGATTCTAACATCAATTAATCCATCTTTAAAATTTTGAAAATATTTTGTCTATTTTTCAAAAATACAAATCTCCAATATTTCTTTTTTAAAAATTTTTTACTTATTTATTTATTTATCATTGTTCTTACTACGGTAAATTCTGAAAATTTAAATATTGAATAGAATAGTGTATGTTATAAAAAAAGAAAAGAAAAGAAAAGCAGTCGAACCAACTTTTTTAAAAAATGATATATAAATAAAGAAGTAGAAATTTAGAGTAACACTTGTCACAAATTTAGAAATAGCCTAGTGTTTAAAAGTGAGTAGCATTGATTGTGACAAGTAACGCTTTGAAATTGATTCATCTACTGAAAGTTTATATTTAATTAAATAAAATTAAGGCTAGAATTGGTCCTTATTCATCTAGGGTAATACTTGTTGCAATTTTAGAATGCGACTTGTACCACTAAAATAAGTTTGTTATTTCTATAAATATGACATACAATGTGTTATGAGCCAGAGGGATAAAATAAATAAAAATATGATACATTAAAAGATAAATTAAATTAAAGAGATGCCAGGACACATATAAAATTAAATATCTATATATCCTTTTATATATCCTTTAGGTACTGTTTGGTAAGAAGGATTGGGAGCTGAGTTTGGAATCAGATCAAGAATTGAGTCACTTTGTGTCATTTGGTGCATAGGATAGGTGATAACCTGGGCTTCCACAATACCATATAGGTGGGTTTGAACAATATCACTTCCCGGACATTGCTTTTCTAATTTTGAGATTGAAAATTGTAGAGACAAAAATATCCCTATTTATTATAATTTTTGTATAAGACTATCGTCAAATTTCCATTGCCTTTCTTGTTCTCCATTGCGGCTCTACTCTCACCGTGCCGTTGGTAGCCGTGGCATCCCAGGTAATTCGTTCTATCCCCTCCTGTGTTGTTCGTTCTTTATTTCCCAGGCCTGCATATTCATCTTTTCTCTCTCTTGTTTTCTTATTCTTCATCTGATTGTGCAGTACCAGTGCTTTAGTAATTTTTCACCCTCCCTCACTCTCTTTAATTTCCTTCTTCATTTGACTTTGATCCTCGTTAATTCAATTTTGTCCTTGTCCTCACATTGATTGATTAGATGTTGTATTTTATCAACATATTACCGCCTTACCTTTTTGGCTAAGAGAATTGGATTCCCATTAAAGGTTTCTTTCTTTCTTTTTTGGGAAAGCATCAAACAATTTTAAAGCATATCATGGAATTAAAAACTGAAACAAAGGTTATATTAAATGATGTAGTGTCACATTTTTATGAAAAATACAAATTGCCCTTGTATTTTGACAATTTTTATTAAACATATATATTTTATTTTACTTCAATGTAATTTAAATTACACATATATTGCTTCAAGTTAATGAAGGGTGTTTTGATCAAAATAATTTAAATTACACTAAAGTGTGGTTTTGAATAACAAAGAAGGCATCCTAAACAAATTTTGTTGAAGTTGATTCTACTAAACTAATAGCATATATAAGTTCTAATTTAACAAAATTTTGTTATATTTCTATATGATTAGTTACACAGTTATAACATTACCTGAAGAAAGGAGAATACAATTATATTGGTTGTTTTGGTGACTAAGCATGGCTGTGGCAATACATGGGTTTTTTATTTGTGCATGTATGATAGTCAAGCTAACGAGGCAAGAATCAAGCATAGACCTTACAAAATGGATTTTGTTGCTAAGAGAGCTTATGTAAAAATATTGGTGTGTAGTAGTGACGTAACATATTACAACCTACTTAGAATGCATAGGTTAACATTTGATAAGCTATGTTCCATGCTAACAGATGTGAGTGGCTTTAAGCTTAGTAAGAATATACTTACAGATGAGCAAGTTGCCATATTCTTGCACATATTAGCACATCATGTAAAGAATAGAACAATATAATATAACTTTGGTAGATCTGAAAAAATCATTAGTAGGCGTTTCAATCCTGTGCTTAATAGAATGATGAAACTTGCACATGTGTTGTTCAAGAAAGCAAAGCCTATGACAGAAGACTCTAATAATAATAAGTGGAAATGATTTAAGGTAGGTACACATATTTGAACTACGTTAGTTTGTATGTAAAAACATTT